AATAAAATAATTGTGTGTGGCCCTGTATGAGAAAAATATCAACAAATGATTTTATGTACAACTAATTATTATCAACTAAACATTTATTAAAAATATATATATTTTGTTACAATAAGCACACTCAAAACACATGAAATATACATATTACTTTCCATTTATTGTATCAAATCTTTTTTTTTTCAAAAAAAATAACTGATTTATATTTCTGTCCTGGTCTTATGAAGAGATTTCTGTCAGATATATATATATATATAATTTTTTTTGTATGTTTAAACCAGTAAGTGTAAAGTCCTTGGTACAGGGAATACACAATTTTTACATAAGATCCCCAAAATTAAAAAAACAACTTTTATTTACCACCCTGTACTTGTAATAAGTTGAGATGGATTGGATTACTTTTCTACAACTTTCTTTGATATTAATGAAAACAATGTGAGTGTGAGGAAAGGTAGGGGACATCAGAATTTAGCAGAGTTACTACAGTCAGTTAGGATGCTTTGGAAACAGTGAATACTGACAAAGGAAACTCTGCATCTGCTTAAAATACAGATTTACAAATGACGGTGTTTGGGATATGAACACTGTGTATTGCTTTATTTAAAACATCTTCCTGCTATGATTTTAGTTGGAAGGAATCATAAGCTAGTTTGTAAAATAACTATTAATGGATACACAAATATTTCTATATTCAAACTTATATTTATTGTATGCGCCACAAATCCAGTATCCATGTTCATGTATAATAGATCTTTAACTCCTTAAGGACGGCGGATATTCTATGCCGTACTTTTCTGGGGTGGCTCTAAATGCTGGAGGATGGCATAGAACCTCCCAGCTGTCCTTCATACTCACCGGGTCCCTGCCAATCCCCTGACGGCGGTCGCGATCCTGGAGTCAGCCCGGGAGCTCTTGCTCCTTGCAATCATATGGCTGTAAAAAGCCGGCTTATGCAGTGCCCTCAGGGGGACTGCCTGATCTCTCAGGCTGTCCCCCTAAAGCCTGTAAAAAAGTTTTAAAAAGTTAAAACAAAGTTTTAAAACACTTTATAAATTTAATAAAAGTACAGTACAGTATATTTATGCCATGCTCATTTTATTGATGTCGTCCATCGGACTGATTTGTGACAGACTAGAGAAATTGGAGGTAGTTTGTTCATCTACTGTGCCTGTGGGCAGTGGTGTATCCTGGTTTTGTGCTGCCCTAGGCAGGACAAAACTCAGGCACCCCCCCCGCGCCACCCCCACCCAACCCTTCTCCCCTGCCCCGTCTTCTAAATACACACACACACATTCACTGACAGATACGCATACACTAGCTATCAGACACTCACACATTCACTAACAGACAAACACTAACAGACACACACTCACTCACTAAGAGACACACACACACACACTCACTAACAGTCACACACACTCACACACACTAACAGGTAAACACACTCACACTCACTCACTAACAGACAAACACACTCACACTCACTAACAGACACACACACATACACTAACAGACACACACACACTCACTAACAGACACACACACTCACTAACAGGCACACACACACACTAACAGACACACACACACTCACTAACAGACACACACTCACACACACTAACAGACACACACATACACTAACAGACCCACACACACTCACTAACAGACACACACACTCACATTAACACACTCACTTTTTCTTACCTTTGAGAATGCTGGGGGCGGGGGGTTTCTCCCTCTCCCTGGGGTCTAGTGGGGCTGCTGGGCAGGTTGGGCGGCGTGGGAGCACTTTCCCCTGAGCTGTCTGCTCAGCTCCCTCACGCGCCGCCCACAGAGTGAGGCTGGGAGCTGTAATATGACGTCATATTCCGGCTCCCAGCCTCACTCTGTGAGCGGCACGCAAGGAAGCTGAGCAGACAGCTCAGGTGAAAGTGCTCCCTCGCCGCCCGCCCACCCAGCAGCCTGCCTAGCTTGTCAATTAGCCGCAAGGCTAACAAGGCATTTGGGCATTTGGGGGTGTCTTTTTTGCCGCCCCCTGGAAAATGTCGCCCAAGGCAAATGTCTTGTTTGCCTCGCGGCTAAAACGTCACTGCGTGCGGGGACCACTATTCCGGTATCTGGGGGTGCACCTGCCACACCAGGTAACACTCATGTTTCTTCTCAACTCTCCGAAAACATAAACCCATCTCATATGGTCTCTGCCATTCTCAAAAAGGACATCCTGGAGGGCAAGGATGTCAATCTAGTCTCGTTCCTAATTGCCTCCCAGGATGTCATTTAGAATAGGACATCCGCATATGGGGATACATCTGTGGTGCTGAGGGCAAGAAATCCTAGGCTTAATAAGAAACTAAAAAAATATGTTACGGTATCCCAGTGAGTAGTATCAATAGGAATAAACACTCTAACACCTTAGTGAGTTTTCCCTTAAAACCTCACAGCAAACAATAGTATAGATACAATTTAAGGTGGAGTATTTATTTAATAGGAAACTGTCCATACCCAAATTTGTCTTGGGGTTTGGGATCTCCAGGGACGTGTACTGCTCAGTTAATCCAGAGAAAATGGAGGAGTTGGATGTATACTTGTAAAAGCTTGTGGACATGTGGCACAAATACGGTGGTACAGCC